AAAATAAATATAATATGAAAATTTTATAATGTAATCAAAAACTTATTTATTTATTTATTTAAATTAAAAATTAAAACATAACTTAAAAGAAAAATAAAATGGCAAAATTAAAATAGAATTAGATAATTTAAATTTTAATTAAAGATTACCTCAATAGATGAAGATTTGCAAAACACCATTTCCTAAGAAAATAAAAAAACATAAATTAAGTTAGTATTTATCTATAATAAATTTCAACCCTAATATCTCTAATGGCTTATATAAATAAAATTTACACAAAGAAAATTTACTTACCCCATTGATTATCTCCCTAATGTTTCTTGGAAAACAAATAAGATAACATAAATTAATATTTAATCAAATAGGGAGAAATAATGAAAGAGAAAATTAAAAGGGAGGAGATTGAAAATATCAACCTAAAATTATATCAATAATGTAATTATAAACATATATAAACAGTTAATCTAGTAGCATTGAATGGAAGAAAAAGAGGAGGCAATAGCCGGAGGAGAAGAAAAAGAAGAAGAAGAAGAAGAAGAAGAATAAGAAGGAAGACAAGAAGAAATAAGCTGGGTAGAGTTTGGGGGAGTATATATATGGGAACTTACCCATGTGTAGTTAGTCGGTGTTATTTTCACCGACAAAAATCACATGGGCAAGTGACAGAGAGCGAGAACCAAAATTTTTGCAACCCGCGCCCAAATTACCGACCAGCTTCCCGTCGGCATGCTTTTGGCGTCTTTACCGACAAGATACAAGTTGGAAAACTAATTCACCGACTAGGAGTACGTTCCTAGTATGGCCGGTAACAATTTACCAGGTTCTTCTCCAGATTTCGTCCATTTTGCCTAAGTTACTTTCCAGATTTCGTTTTCATGCCATTTGGTGAATTTTTGTAACAGATTTCTTACATGTTAGTGGACATAAAATTTTAAAAAAATTATCAAAATTCTCCCATATATATGATAAAAGGTATTTTTTCTTTAAATCTGCATTTGCAATACTATAACTTTGTGATAAAAAATGCAATAATTTGAAATTTATTCAATAGATTTTTTGTAATTTGGTCATTTTAGTTGGTATAAATTCTAAAAAGAATTTGACAGAGTTTCCCCATATATATGATCAAAACCAATTTTTTTACCTGCATTTGCAATGAAAAACACATATATTCTACAAGTCTAGTATGCTAAAAACAATTATACCTTTTCAACCACAACTACAACCACAAAGTATATATGGAAATCACACACCATTGTTTTAAATACCCACGATATTTAGTTAATAATAATTAACCTCCAAAGTAGTCCAAAACTTCATACCTTTTGAAGTATGATCACTAGAGGTTAAGCAAAATAAGAAAATATATCGTAATAAAAGCTAAAGCTAACAGTTTAAAGTACTAATAGAAATAAAGCCAACCACGCAAAGTATGTAGATAATGTGAAAAAACTAAGGACCTTGATAGTTTGGATCAAAAGTAGGATGGTATGCATCATCATCTTGAGGGGGAAACTGCCGTTGCTGTTAATATTCAGGGACCATAGGAGAGGTTTGTGTAGAATCAGTGGAGTAGGTGAAAGCTGAATTCATGCGAAGACCTGAGCCAGGACCATGTGACGGCTGTGGTGGGGCAACTGGATGATGACCTGCCTGAGGAGAGATGCCATGAGCGGCTAGAGCTACTGCAACAGACTGTGCGATTGTCTGGCTCATATTATTCTGAGCTTCTGTCATATTGGCCAGCTACTATTGCATCAAAGCAATTTGTTGGCGTTGTCTTTCTAACTCCTCATGATCTTTTGCCTGTGTCTCCTCATAGTCAGACGCCATCAGTGCTGCTATTAAGTTTTCTCGGGGTTGTCTCTTCTTGTAAGTAAAACCAACCATCTCTAGATTTACTTGGGAGCCAATCCTTGGCATGAAATTAGATGAGCAACCTCCAACAGCCTTAACCCATGCCTCGTTATCCATGCATGGCCACGAACTAGCATCAGAGCCATGACTATCTACGCACTCCGTAACATAAGTATCCTGAAAAAAATAATAATAATAGTAATAATGTTGTCAAAAGTAGTTTGAAAAGAATCTATAAAAAAAAAATTAGACTTTGCTAAATAATTTAGATTAATTACATAACTTTTTTTCACACTTATAACTATACATTTTATGCTAATTTATATGTTATATATACTTACATATCGATAATTTGCTTTTTCATTGATCCACGATGGCTCTTGATCTTTTCCCGCTTTTTTTCTGAAGGTGTGCGTCTCCTTGAATTTCTCCTAATGGGGAGGTTGCACACCACCTCTAGACTCAGTCTATATTTCAAAATATTGATAATGCAATATATTGGTTAGTATAAATTGACACAATTTAATGTTAAATAAAATCTAATATATTAAATTTTTTATTAATTAAGCTTGATTACCATCCGCATCTCATGGATGCCAAAGCTAACGGACCCGGTGGTGTGAGTCACCCTTTTCCCAGAGCTCCTATTCTTTGCTCCCCTTGCACTGAGCCTCTTATATTCATCAAAGTCCCAATATGTCAGCAGCTGAGGCCATATATGAGTTGGGATCCAACGTGGGACATAGGCTGAGTTCTTGTCCCATTTCAACTTCTCATCCCTGAGATTGTCACTCCATCTATGCTTCATACAATTTAGGAATGCATCTTGCACATGGCGATTATCTGCAGGATCCCACTGGTAAAGTGTCTGCAAAATAAGAAATAAATAACATTAGATGTCTAAGAAATGTAAATTCTAATTTAGTAATGAAATTATTTATTTTTATTAGAAATTGCTAAATCCATTCATTTTATTAAATTTGCTAAAACTTAATCTTACCTTGAAACAATTATACATTTCAGCAATCTTGCTCTAGGGGACACGCTCGTATGTGAAATAGGGGCCATCAAAACGTGACTTCCACAATGAAGTGATAGCCCGAGGGATGTTTGGATCAGCAAACTGGAGCTTATCATCAGTGAGTTTAACCCATTTCCTGCTCTCTCTATTTTCTGGAGGGCGTATTCCTTTGAAATTCCTGCTCCGTCCTTTTTTCCCCGTTGAGGATGAAGGGCCCTCGTTCTCATGATCAGGTGGAAAATTATAATTCATTAATGGATCAATCGTTTGCTGTATATTCGGAGCTACGCTACTATCAGTAAACAGCTGTGGGTGATTAAAATTGTTGCTCTTGTGATCCTGAAGAGGAAGATCTCCTCCTTCCTGAACCTACAGGATTTCTAGACATCCTGAAAAATGAATAACAAAATAGTTATTAATACATTTATACAAATAATAAATAACAAATTTTGAACAATCATACAATAATTCTATTTTAAATGAAAAATATATAACTTGATAAAACAGTATATGTAAGACAAAGAAATTTTAATACATATATTTAATAAGTAATAATACAGATGTTTCAATTAATCATCATTATCATCGCTATCATCACCATCCTCAACATTATCACTATTTCCTAAGGATTCTGAATCTTTTTCTTCTCCATAGTCCTCCTCTTCTTCAGATGTATTAGCATCAACCTCAACTTCTGTAACACCTTCTACGGATAGTTGAAGTGATTGGTATGCAGTTAAATCTATAGCTAATGAAAAGCCTTGCATTATGGAGGGGTCATCATCTTGAAAAATATCATCAACCTCTCCTGAAGATGAGGTAGATGAGGTCTCAATTACATGTCTAGATTTGATTTTACATGCTGCCAACCATCCCTGGGTAGTTCTATCTGTGGCTGCCGGATATGGAGTATAATAAACTTGTTGTGCTTGACTAGCAAGGCAAAATGGCTCCCCCGTTGAAAGTTTAAACCTTGGATTGACATCAACAATTCCGTGTTCAACATTAACACGTATTCCTCGGTTCGTGTCCTACCAATCACAATTAAACAATATTATAGTCTCTTGATGGCCTGAGTGTCCATAATACAATAACTAGATCACCTCTTTTAAGACACCATAATAATCAGTTTCATCTACAGAATTAATGGTGGTTCCTTTAACACAAACACCACAGTTATATGTCTTTCTAGTACTAGTAAACTCTTCAGTAAAAAATTTAAAGCCGTTCACAAAGAACCCATTATAAACATTCACTTCAAAGATCGGGCCAACTGCAAGGTGGATAAGTTGTTCATTGATTTCATATTGTCCACTAAACACCTATATTTGAAAAAAAAA